TTTGTCTTCCCCTAGCCTTCTTACATGGATGCCAGTCATTGGCACACTCTAATCCAGTATGACCTCATCTTATTTAATTATATCTTCAAAGGCCAAACTTCCAAATAAGGTCATATTCACTGGGACAGGAGGTTAGAACTTGAACATATCTTTTTGGGAGACACAATCCAATCCATACATTCTTATTTAATGATAATATACTGGGTGGTTTATGTACATGTCATGTTAGATCTTTACAGTCATCCCAACATTTTTTATATATTATAAACCTAATAGAGAGTGGGCATTATGAAATCCAGAACCATTGCATGATGCTCTCAGTCATAAACCTATCACTTCAAGGGGATGCCTCATGCAGCATGATCAAATATATGAACAACTCCATGAGCACCATATTCAATATGCATGGAGGTCTGGACTCATGTAATATGCCCACTGAGACTTTGTCTCACACAGGATGGCAGAGAAGAGTACTGTAGCAATGCCCAGACTTACAGAAGTGTTACCCTTTTGGGCATCTCTAGGGTAAGTAACTAGCCAGGGGAATCTGTCCTTTGTTTAGACTTTGGCCTGGAAAACTCCGCAATTGGGTGGGTTCTAGAACCAAAGCTATAAACTGTGCCTGTGTAATCTCACTGTGGCAAGACAGTGAGCTGGGTGGGTGGCATTGGCTGAGTCTCATCACTGCCATATCCCCATCAAGATGCTGGGCAGAGTGGGTGCTGCAAAGATGCTTGTTGCAGGCTGGCTGAGGCTGAGGGACTAAAGTGCCTCCACCTGTTGGCATCACACCTGCAGGCAGGGGTGGGTGTGGATTATCAGGAAGTAAACCTTAAGATGGCTGTATTAGAATTAATCTGCTACCAGACTTCACTTTGTTTATCAAATTACACACACACACAATCTTTATAGTGTGTCTTATACCTCAGTTAAGGCATGATTAGTCTGAAGCAGTGGATTTGAAACTTTTAGAGAATTTCTCAGCTGCACAACCATTCAATGCCAAGCTGTGTGTGGAAGTTGAGTATATGAGGTCATTTGGAACTCAGAGCCCTGATGATGGAGAGGTTCTTCTCCTTCCTCTCCCCTTCTCCCACCCCCATGCCTCAGACTTAGGGACACCTCGTCCCTGCCAAACGCAGGCCAGAGGACTCCCTTCCTCAGCATCCTGGGGAAGGGAGTCCTCTGGTGCCTGGAGAAGCCCCTCCCTGCCCATGTGGATACAGATTCCTTCCCAGGGAGCCTCCTCTGTTCCTCACCCCCACCCCTCACAGATTCTTCCCTCATGTTCCTTCCCATCCAACAGTGCAAACCACTCCTCTGTGCCCCTTCCTCATGTCTGCCCCAGTGAGAGCCAGGACTCTTGGAGCACTTTGCAGTCAGGTGAATGTGTCGGCCTTAGGCCTTCCGGTCCAGATGTCACTTCTAGCAGGAGGACCCTCCTCGCCTGCAGAAACCCTGCCTGCTGCAATACCATCCCACCTCCTTCTCTTCTAGTCCCCTCCATGGGGCTGGTCACCATCCTTTAAATTAATAGAAATCCTTTCACATAATTGAAGGCAGGTTAAATAGTCATCACCATAATTACCTCTAAGCATCAGAAGAGGAGGCTGGTGGTAGAATGTTCGAAAGCTGGGAGGAAAGTTTAAATTTCCACGAAGGAAAGCACCTGTCCCCTGACTTTGGCCTTCCGTTGGTTCTGCCTCAGAGGTCAGCATCCCCTGCTCTCCTGGCTGAGTGGGAGAGCTGGTCATGACAAGCTGTCACCTGCCTGTCCGGGGAGGCTCTTCTCGAAGGCTCTGCCACCTGCTGGGATGGGGGGTGGCAGTGACAGGCCCAGCTCCGTGTTCAGTGAGGCCCATCGGCCCGAGGTGGCAGGAGGGCTGAGGCTCCCTGCCAGTGGGCCTAGCACGGCCACTTTGCATGCGAGAGAGAGCAGTTCAACAGCTGTCACTGGCAACCCCTGGGGTCTGCTCCAGACTTGGCAGAGAGGACACCTTCGGACTCCCAAATAGGCTCTTTGAAATTCATCAGAACATCTCTGTCATCCCCTCGCCCCCTCTCTCTGACACAAACATACGCACACAAGATAAGCCATAACTGTTTTTTTAATATTTTTTTTATTGATTTCAGAGAGGAAGGGAGAGGGAGAGATAGAAACATAAATGATGAGAGAGAATCGTTGATCAGCTGCCTCCTGCACACCTCACACTGGGGATCAAGTCCACAACCTGGGCATGTGCCCTGACCGGGATTCAAACCGTGACCTCCTGGTTCATAAGTCAACACTCAACCACTGAGCCATGCCGGCCAGGCAGCCATAACTTTCTTTTACTCATAGACCTACACAGCCAAGTTTTCTCCCTGTCTCTCACTCTCTGACACACATATTGGTCAGTTCTCACATAAAGTCCTCTCTCATCTCCTCCTCTTCCTCTCCTCCTCCTCCTCCTCCTCCTCCCCTTTCTCCTTCTCCTCCTCCTCCTTCTTTTCTCTCTCCTCTCTTCTCTCTTCTCTCTCTCTCTCTCTCTCTCTCTCTCTCTCTCTCTCTCTCTCTCTCTCTCTAACACACACACACACACCCCACACTAGTTAAACTCCTGCTCTCTCCTACCTCACTTAACGCAGGTATTATGAGGGAGCAGAAACCCCTCTCCTCCTCTCCTCTGGACCAGGTCCTCTCCAGGTGTGGCAACGTCCCCCCCTCCCCTAATGTGACTTACAACATGGGGCCCCTGAGCTATGGGACCCTGGCCTCCAAGTGTTGACAACTCCTGGGTCACTGGATGCATTTTCCACCTTTTTTCCCAGCCA